CTAGTATGTGAGGCACTGGGTTCCATTCTCAGCACCACATATAAAAAAAAATAATAAAGGTCCATTGGCAACAAAAAAATATATTTTAAAAAATGAGTTTTCAAACCACAAAAAGACATAGGGGAATATTAAATCCATATTTCTAAGTCCTAGAAGTCAATCTGGAAAAAGATCAGTGGTTCAATTTAAACCCCCCACCCCCCAGGGAAGGTTCAGTTGGTGAAAAAGAGGGGATGTTTTAGAATAGTTACACTATTTTGTATAATATTGTAATTACATAGCATCCTATATAATATTGCAATGCATAATATATACATATATATTATACATTTTTCAAAACCCATAGAACTTAACAAAAAGTAAATTTTAATGTATTTTTTTTTTATTATTTTTTGGTACCAGGGATTGAACTCAGGGGTACTGAACCACTGAGCCACATCCCCAGCCCTATTTTGTATTTTATTTAGAGTAGGGTCTCACTGAGTTGCTTAGTGCCTCAACTTTGCTGAGGCTGGCTTTGAACCTGCAATCCTCCTGTCTCAGCCTCCCAAGCCACTGGGATTACAGGTTGTGCCACCACACCTGGCCTTGAATGGTATCTTTAAGACTAAAGACAAAGGAACTACACATAAACACTGTATGGTAGTTGATAGGTTGTTTTCCACAAGGTTATAAATTAACAATTCTGACACTCCTATACATGTATACTAGAATTAAACAATTAATTCTAATTAATTTCATGGGGGATGATGAAAGCCAAGTTTCTCACTGTTGAAATGGGAATTTTCAGAAAGGGGTAGGGGTCAGAATGATCCATGTGGCAAGGGATTAGAGTTGGAGACAGTATGAATTCATATTTAGCTTAGTATAAATATGTTTGCATATAGAAATATTTTTGTGTACATATATGAGTTAGCATGCATCTATTTTCTCACTCTCCCAGAAGTGTCTAGAAACAATGACACCCTAATAGTAATAAATAAGCCTACTGCCCAGACTTCCCAGATCTTGGCTTCTAAAACCACTCCTCAATAAAGGAAACAGGACTGGGGTGTAGCATAGTGGTAGAGCACTTGCCTAGTGTGCACAGGGGCCTGAGATCAATATGGAGTACTGTTAAAAAAAAAAAAAGGAAATAAAGTTCCTTGGAGAAATGGTTGAATATAGGACTGGGGTAGGAAATATACAAATGAGCTTGTAACATTGTGTAGTGTCAAAATAAATGTTTTTTTTTAAATATTTTAGTTGTCAATAGACCTTTATTTATGATATGTGGTGCTAAGAATTGAACCCAGTGTCTCACACATGCTAGGCAAGTGCTCTGCCACTGAGCCACAACCCCAGCCCAAAATAAATTTTTAATTTAAAAAATAGGGCTGGGGTTGTGGCTCAATGGTAAAACACTAGCCTAGCTCATGTGAGACACTGGGTTCAATCTTCAGCACCACATAAAAATAAATAAATGATGAATGTATGTAAAAGAGACACAGGAGAGAATTGAAAGACCTCCCAAAGGCCAAATTTATAACAATTTGAACAAAAGAATAAAGAATATTGAATTCTAACCCAAAAAATGAACATCCATAAGTCCATACTGGTAAAAGTAAATGCTTGAATGAATAAATGAGGAAGTTGGAGTGGGATTATAATATAAAGAATAATTCCAAGGGCTGGGATTGTGGCTCAGCGGTAGAGCGCTCGCCTAGCATGGGCGGGACCTGGGTTCGATTCTCAGTAGCACATAAAAATAAAGGCATTGTGTTGTGTCCATATACACCTAAAAAATAAATATTTAAAAAAAAGAGTTAAGAATAATTCCAAATAATTTCTCTAGATCCTTCCCGGAGGGGAAGCATAAATCCGTAGTTTCTTAGTTTGGGCTGTACATAGTGACTTCCTTTCAAGGAAGACAGTATGGAAATGGGGAGAAAGGGAATATCAATACACTGGGGAAAACACCATACACTGGGGAAAACACCACCTCTGCCAGGTGATCAAGGTCAATATCAACAGTGATATGTCCTGCTGATAGTATATATCAAGTACCATCCTTAATACATGATGAAAATGGCAGTTTACCTCCGTAGTCTTTCTGCCTCAAACCCATAACCCAGACCATGATGAGAAAAATAGAAGGACAGTCGCCAGGTGTGGTGGCTCAAGGCCAGTAATCCCAGTAGCTCAGGAGGCTGTGGCAGGAGGATCGTGAGTTCAAAGTCAACCTCAGCAAAAGTGAGGTGCTAAGTAACTCAGTGAGACCCTATCTTTAAATAAAATACAAAACAGGGCTGGGGATGTGGCTCAGTGGTTGAATGCCCCTGATTTCAATCCCCAATACCTGTACCCCACAAAAAAAATTAGGACAGATTATTAAATACCTGACAAGTACTCCTCAAAACTGTCAAGATCATCAAAAACAAGGAAAGTCTGAGAAATTGTCAAACCAAAAGGATCCTAAGGAAATATGATAATCAAATGTAATCTGAAAATGGGCTTGGTAACACATTCCTATAAATCCCTGATATTCAGAAGGCTGAAGCAAGATCACAAGTTCAAGGCCAATTTGGCTAATTTAGTGAGATCTTATCTCAAAATTTAAAAAGGCTGGAGATGTAGCTCCATGGTAGAGTACTTGCCTAGCATGCACAGATACCTGGGTTCACTCCCTGTACCACAAAAGTAAATAATAAGTAAATATACTGGAAGGGATCTTGGAACAGAAAAAAAGACCTTTTGCCAAAAACAGGAGAAACCTGAATAAATTATGAACTTTAGTTAACAAAAATGTGTCATGATTGTATTGGCTTATTACTGTATCAATATTGGTTCATTAATCATAATGTTGTGACATGTTAATGTAAGATATTAATAACAGTGCAAACAATGTGGAGACTATGAGAACATTCATCGTATCCATTAGTTTTGCTGTTCAGAAAACTGCTCTAAAAATTAAGCTTAAAACTACACCTTAAAAGCTGACTGTTTTTAGGGCATCTGGTGCTAAAAGAGAAAAAACTTGGGCTGGGGATGTCGCTCAAGCGGTAGCGCACTCGCCTGGTATGCGTGAGGTCCGGGTTTGATCCTCAGCACCACATACAAAGAAAGATGTTGTGTCTGCCGAAAACTAAAAAATAAATATTAAAAAATTCTCTCTCTTAAAAAAAAAAACACTTAAATCAGTGGTTTTAAAACTCCTGCGTACATCAGAGAACTGAAACACAAACTCCAACTCAAGAGGTTTAGAAAAGGGCTAGAAAATTTCCACTTTTCTTAAGTTCCCTGGTACTGCTATGATTGCTGCTGCTCCAAGGACCACAACTTCAAGAAACACAGGGGTTAAACTCAAGATTTAAAACAATGATGGCATCTCATCCCCCAGAAAATTGGGGCATTGGTGTAGCATGCCTTGGAGATTTTCTGGAGAACCTTTCAAGGTTCTTCTTGCAGAGGTGAAGAGTCCATCATATATATATTCTACTGTACCCTTCACCCACAGAAGATACCCCTCCACTTCATCCTATGGCTTCATGACTTACTAGTACACTGGTGATATACAGATGACTCAGACCTATCCCCTAGGTCTCCCAGAAATGTGTGTCTAGAAGCACCGACACCCTATAGCAACAAGCACACCTATGCTCAGGAAGAAGTAGGAAAACAATTGCTAACCAAAGTGAGAAAAGTGGGTTAATGTTTAAGGAACAAAATAGAATGGGAGCGGCTAAATTATGCATGAGCCAAGAAATTAGCTTTCTAAGGTGAGTAATGATTTGGAGACCATCACTAAGGGGGGAGTGAAAGGACACATTCTAGAAGTGGGGACAAGATGTACAAGGCATGGAAATCTACCAGCTCCAGACTTTCCTACAAAGTTGAGCTCCTAGTACAACTTTCAACTTCCTCTGGGGTATGTGTAATCTTGTGTGTGTGTGTGTGTGTGTGTGTGTGTGTGTGTGTGGTGCTGGGGATTGAACCCAGGGCCTTGTACATTCAAGGACGGCACTCTACCAACTGAGCTATATCCCAAACCCTGTCATTCTCCTTTTGCCAAAGGGTTCTGAGATGTTTAATAACTTGTCCAAAGAAATCTAGATGGTAAGCAGGAAGATCCAAATTGAAATTCAGAAGGTGCTCTAAGTCCGGCAGTTCACAATTGAGACCTCAGGCTCTTCTACCCGCCTCAGGTGACATCCCGTCTTCCTGCCTTCTTTCTCTAAGCCTTCTCTTTCACCTCTTTCCCAATTAGCTTCTCCAGTCTCTCATGATTAACCAGACTCACGAGCATGGACAGAAGTCCAGTAAATCAAGATCTCCAACTTGCTGCAACTTAAGCCTAGCTGTAAAGGAAATAAAAATTCCTGACGTGACTTGTCCTGCTTTCTCCAGGTCGCTGTGAGGATCAAAAGAACTTAAGGATTTGACCAAACTCCCTCGCTATCCTCAGGCCTCCTCAGGCGCCCCACAGCCAGCCACATCCTAGCACTACAACCTATACTTTATTCAGCCTCAGGAGACAGGCCCAGGTCCAGCAGGTGTGACCCATCTCCCTCGCGGGCTGGTTGGTAGTTTCCGCGCTCCCCTGGCACCCGAACTGAGCTGGGCGTGGACACAGTTAGACAGCCCGACCCGGACATGACCCCGGATACGGGACGAAAGATGGGAGCCCTTTGCCTACAAGAGGAGCTGCCCCAAACATCTCGGCGCTCAGCCTCTGCATCCGCCCAGGTCAAATCTCTCCTCCCCACCAGTGATAAAGTCTCGGTTCCCAGTGCACCCTTCCCAAAGCCTGAGTCCGCCTCCCCCGCCCTGGCGCGGGATCTGGGAGAGTTAATTCCAACCGCCTCCGCCGATTCCCGGGGCCTGGTCGCTGACAGCGCCTCCCATTGGCCGCGGAGCCGGCTCGATGCTGATTGGCTGAGGCTTTCTGCAGCAGCTCCCCGAGGCTCCGGATTGGCGCAGCGCTCCGGTCACTGGTGTGTGGCGGCGGGCCTCCGCAGGCTACCCGGGGTGAAGGTGCTCCGAGCTCCGGTAGCTACCTTGGGACGTTCATCCCGGTCCCGAGTCCCGACTTCCTTACTGATCTAGCTCTCGTTGCTGTCCCGGGAAGACCACCGGATTCTTTTCCTCCTGCTGGTTTTCTTTTTCCTTCCTCCCATCTCCCAATTCCTTCCATTTTCCTCCTCCACACGCTGGCCCCCGCCCCGCGTAGCGTAGCGTAGTCTGCCATTCTGAACATCCCACCTGCCTGCCACCTCCTGACTTCTGCCCCTCCCTGACTTCGAATCCCTTAGCCAGAGGGCTCTGTCATAACCTAGCCAGACTCTCTTACACGCCTCTTTTTTCCCCCTCTTTATCAGTTCCTGACTCCCAAATCCAGCTAACCTTTGACTTTCTGACATTTGACCCTGACACTTGACTCTGGACCTCCAAGCGGAGGTCTTCCCTTCTGAGGCTACTGCACCCCACACCATGGACTTCTTGATGAGTGGTCTGGCAGCCTGCGGGGCCTGTGTGTTCACCAATCCCCTGGAGGTTGTGAAGACCAGGATGCAGTTGCAGGGAGAACTGCAGGCCCCTGGCACCTACCAGCGTCACTACCGAAACGTCTTCCACGCCTTCTTCACCATCGGCAAGGTGGATGGCCTGGCTGCCCTGCAGAAGGGCCTGGCCCCTGCCCTTTTGTACCAGTTCCTGATGAATGGTATTCGACTGGGCACCTACGGGCTGGCTGAGTCTAGGGACTACCTGCATACCACCGAGGGCACCCTCAGTCCTGCCCGCAGCGCAGCAGCTGGGGCCCTGGCTGGGGTCATGGGAGCCTATTTGGGGAGCCCCATCTACATGGTAAGGAGGGGGAGGGTCCTTCTTGAGGCCTTCAGGGAAGATCCTTGGTATAGGGTGGGAGTCTGGTTCTTCACAAGAGCATAGGTGACAGGGTGCTGTCCCCTTGCCAACAGGAAAGGGCATCAGGAAAGTGCTGGCATGTTTTAGGGCATTCTGATCTGCCCTATACACACCCATTCAATAGACTCAATTGAATGTGTTGATGAATATGATGAGCTTTGGAATCAGCCATTCTGGAACTCAAATCCTAACTGAAAATTACTAAATGTTGAGCTTCAGTTGCCATATCTGCAAAATGGGGATGATGATGATGATGATGATGGTGATGATTTTGGTACCAGGGATTGAACTCGGGGGCACTCAACCACTGAGCCACATCCCCAGGGCTATTTTGTATTTTATTTAGAGACAGGTCTCACTGAGTTGCTTAGCGTCTTACAGTTGCTGAGGCTGACTTTGAACTCACAATCCTCCTGCTTCAGCCTCCCTAGCCACTGGGATTACAGGAGTGCACCACCTTGCCCGGCAAAAAATGGGGATTATTGTAATGAATTTTTTGTGTGATTATTGAAAGGACTGAGGAAGACAAATATCTGAGATAACACACATAAAACACTAGTACAAATCCTGGTACATAGTAAGCATTTGATAATACTGCTTTTATTATTTTATGATCATTACCTGATATTGAGGTTGGATTTGTGTAGGGGAAGAGGAGGAACCTGAGAACTCATCAGTGAGTGTAGGAATCAGGAAGGTCCTGAGCATCACAGAATTAAAATCTCACAGTCTGTTCCTTTGCTTTGTCAGATGTAGGTGAAGGGTTAGGAACCTGAAGCCCAGAGAGGGGAAGTGACTGTTTCAAGGTCACACAGCTGGGACTAGGCCCTGCTTAGTGTAGCTAAGAAAGTGGGAGGCTGTATGTTTTCCAGAAAGAGAGGCAACCTGGGCTCACTCCCAGGGTGTGAGATTCAAGGACACTCCCAGGGTGTGAGATTCAAGGACAATAGCCTCTTTGAAATCAGTTGAACACATACCCCTATGAGTCCTGGGAGCCTGAGAGCACATTTTAGCCAGAGTCTGATAGGGAGCCTGGTCAATATGGTAGCTGGAGAACTGAACTGGGAATGGGAGCTTGTGTGACAGTCTGGACACCCAGATCTTGCCTAATTTGAAGTCTTAGGAAATACTGCCAGCCTTTAAACTCTCCACCCCTAATCCCAAGCCCCAAGGGGAGGAGGACGTTGAGGGGGTGGGTATCTTGCAGTGCTTGAAGATCCCTCCCCAGGGCCTAGAGCCAAGGGACACATAGTCTGGTGACCAGTTTGTTAAGTGGGAACAACAATAATTATCAGATTAAAAGGGTATTCATTGCTTAACACCCTAGAGGAAGTGTGAGGGGGGTCAGGCATTTGAGTTTCTAATGCGGGAACATGGCCACTAGGGCATAAGCTGTGATACTCTCTTGTCTCCAGGTGAAGACACACCTACAGGCACAGGCAGCCTCGGAAATTGCTGTAGGGCACCAGTATAAACATCAGGTGAGGGTTCCCCAAACCCGCTGGAGTGCCCAACTGTCCTCTCAGCTTTCTGCCTGCCCCAGGCAGCTCTAACCCTGGCCACTGCTGTGCCCCCTCTACCCCTGAAGCCCACCCAGATCCTCTGTATTCCTGCTCCTCAAATCTTTTAAGCCTGATTCTCCTGCCCCATTCTCCCCATTTGCTAATATTCTCACTTATACACAACCAGCCCCTGCTGTGGGATGGCAACGGGTAGCAGAAAACTGAAGGCCCATATTCTGGCTCTAAGCCCACAAATGAACTGGTCATTTAGAAACAAACAGGTACATGTTAAGGACCAGTCCTTGACAGTATTAGGAGGTGGGAGCCCCTAATGCTGGGGTGACTGAACCCCATCCCCATGGTCTTCCCCCCACCAGGGCATGTTTCAGGCGCTAACCGAGATTGGCCAGAAACATGGTCTGGTGGGGTTGTGGCGTGGGGCTTTGGGCAGCCTGCCCCGAGTTATCATCGGTTCCTCTACCCAGCTGTGCACCTTCTCATCCACCAAGGACTTCTTGAGCCAGTGGGAGGTACTGCCCGGGAAGGGAGTGGGGCCATCAGGGAATGGGGTAGAGGGTGGGCAAAGGGAGGTGGGCCCCAGAATGGATGGTGACAACCTTCAGATGTGAGGGAGAAGCAGGAGGGTTTGAGGGTTACCAACTTTTTGACTCTTCTCCAAGTTCTCCTGTCACTTTATCTCAGAGGGGATACCCAAGCCCTCAGGGCATACTGTGCTACAACTGGTAAAGTAGAAGCTCCCTGAGTTACCAGATCTCTGCGTCCCCCAGGCAGGGTCTGTCCTGTCCAGTGGTTGAATAATTGGCTGATTGACAAAGCTCTTCGTCTCTTCCCCCTATAGATCTTTCCTCCCCAGAGCTGGAAGGTGGCTCTGGCAGCTGCCATGGTGAGTGGCATCACAGTTGTCCTGGCCATGACACCCTTTGATGTGGCCAGCACAAGGCTCTATAACCAGCCCACAGACAGTCAGGGCAAGGTAAGGGAGTGCTCTGGGATGCAGGCAGGTAGAGAAAGCTGGGGGAGGCAGGGGAAGCAGATTGTGGGTACAGGTGGAAGAGCCTCAAATTCAACCTGCAGAGGTGAAGCCCCTGGTGGGCTCTGACAAGCTCCTTCCCTGTGCTCTCCCTCCCTTTTCAACATGCTCCAGGGCCTCATGTACCGAGGAATCTTGGATGCTCTTCTGCAGACAGCCCGGACAGAGGGCATTTTTGGCATGTACAAGGGTATAGGTGCCTCCTACTTCCGCCTTGGCCCCCACACCATCCTCTCCCTCTTCTTCTGGGACCAGCTGCGCTTCCTCTATCACAAGTACACTAAATAACAGCTACTTTCCCACACTCCACCAAATTGATACTTCTTGGACACTTCTGCCTCCACTACTATGTCCTGTTGATTACTGACCATGTGACTTTTTATCCATCCAAGAGGGATAGCCAACGACACTCCCTGTTCTGTTCTCTCAGAGTTGAACCACAAGTAGTAAGTCTCCTTCCCTTCTTTGGGTGTTGCTCTAAACCAACCTATCTATCCCCCTGTACTCTACACACCCCCTTCTCAGGGCTAAACCAATCACTCCAAAATATATTGCTTCCCTCTTTCCACTGCCAGCCTTGGGTCCCTCCTGTTCCCATGCACAGCTTTAAACTTTCCCATCCAAGACCAAAGGGAATTTGGGAGACCCAGGTGTCCTGTAAAATTCAAAGACACAGAAATTATATTGGTTATAAAGCAAGTTTATTTCTGCAGAGAAGGTGTGTCTTGTGTTTATGCACAGGAAAGAAAGAAGAGAAAACCAGGTGGTATTCAAACTCTTTTTCTCCCCTCCTAGACCCAGGTCTCTAAGTCTTCAGTAGTATCATACAGTGCTTTAGCATTTTTACTGGGGACCAAAGATGTTGGGATCATGAAGTGTCAGACTGGTCACCAGCTGTTCAAAGTCACCCAGATTCCACGGTGGAGGTGGCACATTTCCAGGTCCAAGAGATGGCCTGTTGTCAGGGCTTAGGGGTGGGGAACAAAGGGAGAAAGAACATGGTTCAGGACTAACTGAGGTTGACAGTTCCCACCTCCTGTTTCCACAGGACTCAGGTATCTGTGTCCCCAAACCTCTGGCCCAATCTGCTTCTTTTAAGGACCCCACCAGCCAATATCCCGCTGTACCCCACCCAGCTTAATTCTCCTGGAGACACGGGCCCTTTCTTTCCTCCTTACGGGGGCTGACTGAAGGTGAGCAAGAGATCAGTCTGGTACTGGGGCAGCCTCAGCAAGGCCAGGTTCAGTGTCACATCCTTTGCTACCTAGAAGGATCAGAATCAGGATGTTTACCTGGATCCTTAAGGCCAATCCATCCCCCTTCCAGGACGCTCCTCGGCCCTCACCTGCTGGTTTTCCTTAGCTACCTGCTGCTTGCCAGAGAGGACCCAGGCTTCTTGACAGTAGCCCCTCAGGGCCAGGTTCTCTAAATTGAGAGGCTGCACAGACTCCACTTGCACAGTCCTAGCCCCCTGCACCCCACCAACGTCCTCAAAATGGTACCTGAGGTGGGAGAGCAAGATGGGGGGCATTTCTCAATGCCCCTCATCCTCACCCCCACCCCCACCCCCACCCCCGAACATCTTTAAGCCCTAGGCTTTGATCACTTCCGGCAGTATCGCCTTGCCCTAGGGAGTTAGCGCCCGGAATAACCGTCCAGTCATAGGCCCCGCCCATTTCCTCAGTTTCGGCCCTCCCATTGGCCAACCGCGGGCCCCTTCCTCACCGCGCCGCCGCTTCACCCAGCACGTGAGCCTGGAACTCCAGAAGTTCCACGATCAGGCTCTGGTCAGTCACTGGATGGCAGAAAACTTCTTGGTTGTCTGGAACTGGTCGGAGGTCACTGGAGAGGGGCGAGGCAGACCGTGGTTGACCCTGACTTCCCGCAACCCACCTGGTCGGCCTCCACAGGGCGCCGAATCTTTCTCACCTTACATCAATGGCCCCAGGGGGGAGGATGGAGGAGAAGGCGCCCCCGAACAGTGGATAGTTTCTTGAGGGCTCCATGGGCCTAGGACGAGGGTATGGGCCCTAGAGAGATTTAAAAGAAATCCATATGGGGACACGTGGCATCACCTCCCCGGCTTTCGCAGCCGCCACAGCCTCTTCTCTACTAGCTTAGTTTCTGGACCCTTTAAGGTTTGGCCCCGCCCGGCGCCCGCGCTAGCCAATCGGTGCCGGCGCTCTGGGGGCGGAGCCCAGTGGTGCCCCTCTCAGAAGCTCTTCCGAGGACTCGGGGTGGGACCGCTGAGGTCTTGGTCTTGGTTTAGAATTTGTGTTACCATCGGGGTCCTGGATCCGCCAGCCTCTTCCTTTTAAAGGGGTCGCTTAAGATCCTCCCTAAGGGCAGTTGCACACCTAGGCGGGGTCTCTTGAGTCTAGGTAGAACGATTTCATGGTGTTCCCAGGACCTCTTGACAGCGAGTGGGCTGCCAACCTGACCACTAATTCCCGGATCCCATGCAGGGAATTAGAGAAACAATAGGTCCAGGTGTGGGTCTCGATTAAGATTCAGGCACGCCTTCCTGAACGCTACACTCAACCTGAGGATTATACATATAATCCCCCTCAAATCGTCGCCTTGAGAAAACACGGAGGCCCGGTGGGGGCAAGCCCTCCCTCCTCAGCACACCTGAACGGAAGCAAGGATTAAACTCTTTGTTTTTCTTTTACAGATTTCCAGTGTTCTTTAAGTATTTGTTCAACTTTATCCTTTTTGTTAATTTCTCCATTCATCTTTGATCACCGCACCTGGCACAATATATTGTTGAGTGACTGAATAAAAACCCTTTAGTATCAATAGCTGGAGACCACCCATGCCCCCAGGGGTTCTAGATGCACGTCCCAGTCCAGAACTAGGCTTGGGAATTCTTATCCCAAGGATATCTAGACTCTAAAGGAGTGGAGCTAGGGGGTATGTATTTATTGGCCTCTTACCTTGCCTTCTGTGAAGGGGCTGGTGATCCAAAGGCAATTAGGACACACCCTCTGCCTCACTTAGGTTGTACAAGGAACAGTAGAGCACACTTTGAGTCTTTTGTTTGTTTCGGCAGTACTGAGAATCAAACACAGGGTCTCTGGCGTGAGAGGCAAGCACTCTGCCCGAGCTACCCAACACTCTTATAAATATTTTTTGAGACAGGACCTCACTAAGTAGCTAAGGCTGGCCTCGAACTTGAGATCCTCCTGCCTCAGTGTCCCAAGCAGCTAGGATTACAGGTGTGCACCACTGTGCCCTGCATAGTTTTGAGTCTTAAATGTTGACTCAGAGGAGTCACCAGGGAATTCTAGTGGTGTTCTCGCCAGGGAAACATAGGAGCAAAGACCTGGAGGTAAGAAGGCATGTTCTGGAGAACACAAGTGTATCTAGGGGAGAGGAGTTAACAAGCTGTGAACATGGCCAGGTATTCAGGGTTTTTGTAGAGCCCTAGTAAGGAGCTTGATTTTCTCATTTCTAGTTGCAGGTATTGCCTTCTTTCTGAGCCTCTTTTCCTTATCTCTAAAATGCTCTTAGGTATAAATGAGATATGGATGTAGTTGAGTCTGAATCTGTTTCCAGGCACAGATTGTGGACTAGTTTTGTTCCATCAGAAGCTGTAGAGGGGAGGGGAGTACTGCAGGCCGCAGAGGGAGAGAAGAATCCTGGCCATAGGGAACTGAGAGAACCAGGTCAGAAGAGTCTCCCTCATGCTCTTTGTTCCTCCCTCCCATTTCTACCATCCTGCCATCTATCCCTTCTCCCTGCCAGGGGCAACACCAGCACTGGGTGCTTCATGACAGTCAAGCAGATCAGAAGTCCTTGGAAAGGGACCTCCAAGGACATAATAGTTAAGAGTGTCCTGGCACTGGACACAAAGGGGAAGGCCTATCCATAGGCCAGGAGGAGGAGGTCAGACTAGGAAGATGGAGAGAAAGACACACACACACACACACAACTTTCTCATTTTGAGTTTCTGGCAGGTCTCAGGTTCTGCTGTGGGCCATAGGCAGTGGGGTGGGGGGTGCTATCCACCCATAGTTCTATGAGATCTTGAGCCAGGGTAGATGGGATCTTCCAGCTAGTGGAAAGCAGAAATGGCAGGAGCACAGGGCCAGATCTCCTCTAGGAAAATTGGAGTGGAAGGCCACCCTAACTTGGCAAATGTCCTTTCTTGGCTTCCATTTCCCCCCTCCCTTGATATCTGTCACCTCTGCTGGCCATCTCAACAACTTCTCCCCAGGGTGTTCAAATTCAAACTCCCCAAGAGACAGGATATAATTGGGTCAATTAACTGCCCAGTTAGATCAATCTGAAAGTATTTATTTGGCAAGCTCTTCCCACACCACCTGCCGGACATCAGTGAAATCCTTGATATAGCTGGCTGTGGCTAGGATGATGGGTATCATGGGACAAATCTCAGTAGACCAAGATGGCCACTGCCATGTTTCTCAGGAGATCTGTGTATTCAGCTTTCAGCCCACTGGTTGGAGTAGACCTGAAATTGGTTGATACTGTACCCCTTGGATATTCCCATATTCAATGTTTTGCATGCAATTGATGCTGTCTGATTTGGGACCAAATATCCCAGAGTCCCTCCCTTTGAAGGCACCAAGAGATGGATTTGAGTGGGGCACAGTGGTGCATGCTTGTCATTGAAGTGATGTGGGAAGCTTAGGCAGGAGGATTGCAAGCCTGAGCAACTTAGTGAGACCCTGTTTCAAAATAAAAAGGCCTGGGTATGCAGCACAGTGGGAGAGCACTTGTGTGGCATGCATGAGGCTCTGGATTCAATCCCCAGCACTGCAAAACAAGTAAACAACAACAAAAATGTGAAACACAGTGCTTCTTTCATCCTAAAGTTATCCCAGCCTGAGTGAGAGAACTAGGGTAGACTACAGTTCACATCCTGTAATGAGGTAAACATTATGGTCCCTGCTTAGTCCCAGCTGAAGAATCTCTCTTGGAGAAATGTCCAGGGTCATGTGACAATCAGTGGTAGCCCCAATAGGTTTCTAACCAAAGGCCTGATATCATAAGGCATTATTTGAGGGAGACCAGTGTGTCATTGTCCTTGGAGTAATTGTATAACTATGCACAACCATCTCAAGAATTTTCTACCCCCATATCTCATAATTCTCCCTTCCTACTAGATGCTATAGGCACTTTAAAAAAAAAAAAAAACATAAGATCCGGTCTCCTATGTTGTCCAGGCTTCCTGATGAGTTGCACCAGGCCTGGCCCCTAAGCATGTTGCCTATGAGGCAGGAGGGTTATTTTCCATGGCTTGCAGCAGAATATGAGACAGAAGTTCTGGATTCAGGATCCCAGACATTTTTATTTTTTACTTTGAGACAGCCTTGCTAAGTTGCTGAGGACCTGCCTCAAACTTGTGATCCTCCTGCCTCAGCCTCCTGAGGTAGCTGGGACTCCAGGCTTGTACCATCATTCAGGGCTTGTGATAGCTACTTTGAATCTTCCTCAGTGCCTTTTTCTTACCACTGGGCGTTTGCATATGCTGTGCCCTGGCTAGCATGTCCTCAAATGTCAAAAAAGTTGTTATTATTTTTTTATTTTTATGTTTTGGCAATGTTGTGGAATAGAACCTAGGGCTTCACACATGCTGGGCAAACACTGTACCACTGAGCTACAGCCCCACCCTTCCAGAAAACACTTCTGGGTTAATTGTTCCCCACTGTGGGCTCCTATGGCTCCTGTTCTGTTGCAGGTACCTCCCTGTATTATTATACTAAGCACCAGGAGGGCAGGAACCACATCTGTCTTTCACCTTTATCTTCTCATGAGATGCACAGGGCTCCCCAATATTTATCAAATGAATGTTGCCTAAGAGACAAGAGGTTATTTACCAAGACCAGTTAAGAGAAGGTGTCTCATAAAAAAAAAAATTTGACTGGTTTTGTCCCCCAATCCTGGGATTTTCCCAAGGTACAGGAGTTCTTTGTATTCATGGTGGGCCTTGATAGTTTTTACTAATGAGATGGTTCACAGTGGGCCCCTACATAGCTTATGCTAAAGAAATGAATCAGGATGGGCGTGCCAATAAGACCACAGTATAAGACCAATATGACCACTGGTGTAAAACTAATGGTGTCTAACACCAATAAGACCAACCATGTGACCAGAGAGTGGAAGCTTTGACCTACTTGACAACAGCCCAATAAAACTCCAATAGAAATTTTGGCCACTGAAGTTCAGTGGAACTTCCCAGATGATGAACACATTGATGTACCAGAGGATGATGCACCCTGATTCCCTGGGAAGAGAACATGGAAGTTCAGATCCTGGGACCTGCCTCAACCTTGCCTATGAATATCCTTTATAATAGAACTAAAATCATAAATATAGCACTTCCATGAGCTCTGTGAGTCATTCTAGTGAACCTGTAGAGTTTGAAAAGAGGCCTGAACCCATAGTCGTTCAAAGAGTGAGTGACCTGGGGGCCTCTGAGATTTGTGGCTGATATGTCAAATGAGGGAGTCAGATGGGAGACAAAGACCTTAACTTGTGGGATCTGACAAGTTAAGATCCACAACTTGTGGTATCTTGCTTTCTGGGCCACTGAAAAACCCAGTGGCCCAGAAGGCAAGAGGATCACGAGTTCAAAGCCAGCCTCGGCAATGGCAAGGTGTTAAGCAACTCAGTGAGACCCTGTCTCTAAATAAAATAGGTCTGGGGATGTGGCTCAGTGGTTGAGTACACCTGAGTGTAATCCCCAGGAATAATAATAATAATAATAATAATACTGCAAAGGTGTGGAGAAAAGATGAAAAACAGTTTCAAAGATGGTAGCCTGACCAAAAGAAATGGAGATGGAGCTAGGGTTGGAGCTCAGTGGAAGAGCACTTACCTGGAATGTGTGAGGTACTGGGTTCAATTCTCAGCATCGCATGGAAATAAATAAAAATAAAGTTCCATCAACAACTAAAAGAAATTTAAAAAAAAGAAAAAGAAAAGAAATGGAGATGCCATTGATGGAAATAGGGAACAGGAGTTTGGTGGTGAGAAGAGCAAAGAGGAAAGGTGGCCTCTATTCTTGCGACTAAGTCACAAGATTGAGCACTTGACCCTATGACCCCCACTTCCCAACAAAAGAGTCCAGTGCCTCCAACACTTCCACCCATCTCT